CCTACGAGATATAGGAATTTTTAAGAAATTCCTTAAGCTATTAGATATCGTGACTAGTTTACTCTAAATCTAAGAATGTCGGTATGTTATGTCAATTTATATTTATATCATGATAATAAAAATATGCATGTATTTTTATTAAGTGTTTTCAAAATACTCACTCTTACAATAACATTTCAGATTAGAACGGATCGCGTGTACGTGCGAAAGTTGATCGAGTATGCTTATAGGGTCGCCAAATAAAATTTCTAAAAATGATAACTGCCAATTTTTAATTTGAAGAAAAACTTTATGTTAAATTTTATGCACGTTACTTTGTAGTTTTTTTTTTTTTGTTCGAGCATTTGACATTCTATATTCCATTTAAACTAATGATTTGAAGTCGTAATATTTCAAGATTTTGTTTAGGACATGTCTGCTCTAGCTTAAAGACCCTTAAAAAAAAAAAAAAAAAAAAATCATTTTTGTTACCTTTTTTTCCTCAGCTGGGTCCCACATGTGAGAAAATTGGTCAAGAATTTTGGCTACAACGGTCATAAAAATCCTTTTGTCCCCCCAAAAAATTGGTACCAGACAACCTCTTAATTTAAAAATTTTCACTTAAATTGCTAGTTTATCATTATTGATTTATCGATCAAATTTCAAAAAAGTAAAATTTCGCTTAAATTTAGATAAAGAAGATTTTTGATAACCCTTTAGGTCTATTTTTATATATATAAAAAATGAAATAGATTTTTGGGCATTACAGTCGCCACTCACAACGGCCGTTGTGCTCGATTGCAACAATGTGCCTCCGATTTGAATTTTATAGGAGTTTTGGCATTGGTGATTTACTTGATTGTTAGATTGTTAGTGGTGATGGTGGTAGTGCGATAGTAGTGGTGGATATGGTGAAATGTTGGTGGAGGATCAATATCCACAGGTGGTGATGGTAGTTGTGTGTATGTCATAGTCAATTGAGTTTTCGTGACCAAATCTATTGAATATGTGAGATGTCAAAGTGCACGGGTCACATGTCATATGTTCAAGGGATTTGGTGACATGCCATTGAATCAGGTCACAAGTAATATATCCAAGAGATTTGTTCACCTCCCGTTGGATCAGATCACGATCACATAACGGGGCATATGTCAAAGTGTATTAGTCACTGTTCACAATTTCAAAAGATTTGTTAACAGACCATTAAATCAGATCATAGGTCACATGTCAAGTGCATAGGTCACAAGTCACGGATTCAAGTTGGTCACAGACCATTAGCTCCGGTAACATGTCACAGATCCAAAAGATTTGATTATAGGCCATTGGATCAAGTCACATGTTACAAATTCAAGGATTTTGATCACATATCATTGATTTCTTCTACCTTAGTCGATTGGGACTGCTCACAAATTTACTTAACCAAATTTCGGTGACGAGAATTCAAGTTATTTGCTCCGACAAATACCTTGTGAATTATACCAGGAGCTGGTTTTCAATCAGTCTTAGTCGTCGACGAACTCAATCATTGTTGTGGCAAAGATCACCACTAAGATGAAGTCACGACGGGATGTCTGCAGTGAGTAGATCCGACTAGTGAAGTGGGGGTGGGTGTGTTAATTTAATTTGACAATATTATTATTTACAACTCCAACAAAATAAAAACCTGAATTTTGCATTTTGAAACTTAATATCTAAAAATTGATTTTATTTTTTTCAAGATGTAAAGCAATATATTATAAGACGTCGTGTTGCTATAATATAACTTGTAATATCTTAGCTCTTGTTTGATACTCATTTTTGTCAAAATATATTTTTCAACCACACATTTTTCATAAAAATAATATTACAAGTAAAATTAAAATCTTTTCTTAATTTTTAACCACACATTCTTCACTAATTAACTATTTCAAATGCATTCTTACTTAAAAATGTATATAATGTTTATTTTCGTATCATATTGTATATTCTATAGCAATTATGGCATGTTTAAAGAAGTAATATTATGTAATTTATGTGAAATAGAATGTTGCAAATCATGATATGTTTTTATGTGAATCTTGTATAATTAGTGGTTGCATATATAATATTTTGTTACATCAATCAATCATATTTTGTTTTGATGTTATGTCAAATTGATGATATATATGGTAGATTACATACTGTATTTTTTGTCACATTTGGTATTTCAACAACTTTTGTGTACTATATTTTGTCATGTTAATCATGTCAAATTGAAGTAAAAGGGACTGAGATAAGAAGATGAGAAGTCTTTGTGATGTTTTGAAATTTTTAGGGTTATCATAGTTTTGATTTTGATTTTGATTTTGATTTTGAACGAATGAGATACTATGATTTTGAGAAAGTTTGGATGGTTCCACGTTAATTTGGGAATTTTGGATGATAAATTTGGTGTATTTGATTTTGCGTAGTTGGAGGGGTGACAAAGGCTAGTTAAGTATTTGATTGTAGGAACGATGTTGTTTATGACATTTCATTTTTACTTGCTAAAATACAGTATTTATAGGATAAAAAATGTGAAAATGTAAAATTTGAATTAGTAAACAAAATAGGGGTAAGACATGTAATTTCTGCTACACTGTAATCTAGGACAACATTTAGGGAAAAATTCAAAAGTCAGGGGTTAAGTATGACAAATTCAATTTTCAGGTGTCAAGTTTCAAAATGCAAAACTCAGGTATTAACTAATTAATTAAAAATATATATATTAATTAAATTTAATAAAGTCACGAATATACAATTAATGGTCGCATATACATAATTATAAGTCACAACTTTTTGTACTGAGCACATATTGTCAAATTAATTGGTCACATGTTATTTCGAGATCACAAATTATTTTGAGGTACAAATAAATTTTTTTATAGGTTAGAATTTATTTCATTAGTCACAAATCAAAAAAATTACAAGTCACAATCTATTATCGCTCACAGATTTTCACATTTGTTGGTCACAAATTATATTTTAGTCACAAGTTATCAAATTTTAAGGTTACAGTTTAATACTTGGTCACGTGTAACCAAATAATTGGTTCATCACCACCAAAACTACCGCTACTTGCGACCACACTCGCCAACACCACAACTGCCACCACCACCATCCACCAACAAAATCAACGTCAGATCTACCATCGCCGCCAATACCTCTACTTGTAGAACCAAC